GAGGGTGATTGATTCTGGTGTTCAGTGATGTAGTATGTAGCAGCATTTCAGATAACCGATAACCTGATCACAGTTGTGTATAAACATAATGCAATTGGTACTGTGGAAAGCCTTTAATAATTGCCTGCAGCTCCTTGAAAGTCCTTGATGTTCAATTAATCATCTTCTGCCTCTGTTCTGCCAGCGTGGCTCCTTTTGAGTAGCAGTTGTCTCAGACACCTGACTAATATTTCACCAGTGGAGAAGTAACAAGAAGCAACAGCAATGACCTGGATGGTTTTTAACTCTGTTCGTTGAGTTTATCATGGTGCTCTTTCAGGTCACAGAACAGACTGGGCATCTTTTCCCACAGTCTCTGGTGGATTGGGTGCATGTATGCATGTTTTTATATACCAAACAGTCATAGGAGTTAGGGAAAAAAAGGACCTGGTTTAGCCCACCATGATTCACAAAGCAAAATTACAGGGCCTTTGACCATCTATTTACTGTAGGCTATGTGGAGAACAAGTTCATGTTAGAAGAATGTTATTAAAATTGCAAAAAAAAAGTTAGGAAATGCCAGAAACGGCCTGCTTTTTCATCTTGGAAGTGGTACATAGATTACCAAGTGTAGGTGGGTAGGTAGATTATGGAACTCAGTCCTTAGTTGCATAGTCACTCAGCATTTTCTCCATGGGATATCTGCTCCAGTACATGGGTCACCAAGTAGTCTAAGCTTGTGTGTGATACAGGTTAGACCAGCCCTAAAAACTGCGGTGGTATCTCATACCTTCAGACTTAGCATGGGTCTAACTTAAGTATGTTAATGCACACTGTGCTGGACAGACCACTGCTGTTCAGGCACTGTGTTTCCAGATAGCAGTCTAAATAAGATCAAATGTGATTGTACAGCAGCTTTGATATTAAAGGCTCTGGCAATGGAAACACTCTAAAAAAATGTACTGTTTGAGCCCAAAGCGGGGTATTTTAATAAAGCAGGCTGGCAAAGGTGTTAAAGGGGAAGTAAGTTTTTCATTTGTAGTCTGAAAATGCAAAGCCAGGTGGAAGAACTGCCTTGTAGTATTCTCACTCCCTGGGTAAAGGCACTGGATGCAGCAGAAGGTTTCCATCTGTGGCGGCTTTGTCGGCTCTGAGCTGTGACCCTGTATCCAAGGCAACTGTTTCTGGATGTTAGGTGGTGAGGAGCTATAGAATAAAGGAGAGGTAGTTGTGAAATATACAGGTATGACTCTTACCAGGGGCAATAATTATGAAATGCTGACAGGTGGAAAAGGGGTTGAAGGGAGCACCAGAATACAAATGTGAAATTTTAGTCTTAAAATTGAGAATATGGTAATGTCTTCCTTGGTGCAGTATACATGTTAGTCAATAAAGATCAACCAAGACTATGGAAAGCCATGAACTAAGGCAAGTGTGGAACAGACATAAAACAAAATTGGTTGCTCTTAGTTTGTCTGCCAGTGTTGTGTAACCCACATCTCTTGGGGACCAGCTCTGTAAGAGCTTGGTCTTTATGCCGCAAGAACTTCTTTCCCTCTGGAAGCAGCATTCTGGTTATAGTTTTCTTTATTTCTGAGGAATCATTTTTTAAAAAATTATATTCGAGAATTTTAGTTTCTTTCAATTCCATTAACTATAGCTTCATTATTAAGAGGTAGTAGAGGTGGTGCTACTCTCATGAAATACACTCTGGGATTTAAAATGATTGCTCAGTTATGCTGGCTTGCTGTACGAGCCAAGTCCCGTGGCAGGATGCCTCTGTGAGAAGAGCTGAGGGCCTGGCTGAAAGAAGCAGGGACACACAGTGCCGTGGTAAAGGCTGGAAGACTTTCTTGTATTCGGTTTTCAAGGTGACCAAAACTTTCCTTCATCTCGGGTTAAATATATCTTTACTGTCAACCCCTTTAATCTCCAAATATAGTAAGACAAGGTAATCACCAAACCGACTGGCCTGAGAGGAGAGCTCACGGGTACTAAAGCCGCTGTTCCTTCTTGGTTTCTGGTACCAACCATCTCTTACTTGTAAAAAAATGGGTAAAAGAAAAGAAAGGAAGCCCAACGGGAAGCATATCAGAAGGCAACTGGACAAACACAAGTTTGTCCAGTTGCACTACCTCTTGAATCCATCACCAGCTTAAGTAAATTAAAAGTCCAAATGAGCAGAATAGTAACTACAAAACCTATTACACAAGTCAGGATGACGGACTCATTAATTGCCAGCACTTACCCATGAGACGCTGCTGAAGGATAAATGTTATCTGAGTGTTTTTATCAACTCAGCTCTACTAATTCTGTTTGTTTATGGAGAAGTATCAAACGGCTGAAATTAATGCTGCCATAGAGCTGGTATCTGAAGTGGTGGGGCAGAATTAGCGTGAGAGGGGTTGAAGTATTGTGTCTGAACCACACAGTATTAACTTCAGGGTGCCTGTACCATGTATGTCAGGGCCATGAAAAATGCAGAGCATTGTTGTGCTTCTTTCCTTGTACTGTCTCAGAAGCACAGGCAGTTCTGGATGAATTTATTTCACCCAGGCATCATGATGTACTTAGCCTTGAGCAGGGGCTGAGCTCAGACCTGTTGTGCAGAGCACACCAGGACTAACTTCTCATGGTCCAGGTGGTGCCGAAGGGACAAACACAGCAAGGGAAGACCCTGTATGAAAAGTACATGAGCGCACTTCTCTCTGCTAGCTGTTGACCTGAAGTTACTACGTCTGCCTGGTCTTACTTTTTGCCTGTTTTATGTAAGTCTTAGCACTCTCGTTGATGTATGGCTCCTTTCACCTTGCATAGCTACATACTGAATTTTGGTAGCTATGCTTCAGGAAATCTTACTTATACAAACTGCATCGAGACTGTGAAACTGCACCACCTCTCATGAATGATCGCCAGAAAATACTAAAAAAGCTTCAGTGCATTTACAACTTGATCAAAACTGTCACTATTTTTTTTTTAATTAATAAATGTGTCTAGCCATATGTGTGACAATAAACCCATTTATTTTGGTGATGATGTTCACATGCTTGCTGTGAAGCACATGTTTAAATGCTTTGCTGACAAGGCATGGGCGAACAGATGCCTTCTCCATAATGAGCTGGCCGGGTATCTCTAGCTGGCAACCGCAACAGGCTCTCCAGCTTCTCCTGGGGACCAGGCACTAGTTGATATTCATCATCAAATAAGAAGGCTCCCGCGAGCAGCCAGCCCAGCCCAGATAACGGCTTCACCCACAGAGGAGGAGGAACAGACACAAGCTTTCCATTCCCCCGTGTTAAGCCTGGGACCCCTTTGTGAGATCTGCTCAAAGGTGGTCTTTATGCACGACAAAACAGAGAGACCGTGGGTCCAGAAAACAGAGTCTAATGTCCCCTTTGGTAATTTTTTTATTTTTTTGATAATACTGTGCAAGTTTTTTTGCTGTCTTTTTACAGAAAAGACTGTTTCTATTGTGAAGATACTGATGATGCAGTATGGTCCGAATTGCCGTCACACAGCTGTTTTCCAAGCACACCAAATCTGGAAGCAGGACCACCTCTTTCATCATGCACCTTTGTGTCATTGAAAAGATGTTTCCAAGTTTACTTGTTACAAGCTTTTACATTCTTTTTCAACAGATGCGAAATTCTGTATCAATGAAGTACAAAGGTAACACAAACAAATTACACAGAAAAATACAGCCATTACAAAAATAAATCAATAGATTTCAAGTAGCAATCTCAACTCATTATACACAGGGAATATTTTCCTGTTGCTTTTTAAAGGTGGGTCGTGATAATAAACTGGATTTAATGATTTCATTATGCTCTATGCTAAAAGTAGCTCCTTTTTTCTTTGGAAACTCTCATTGATGTGATCTGATGTTGATATTTACCTCTCTGAATACGTTACTTGCTCTGCATTTTAGATTAGATATGGTTATTCGTTCATGGGACATGAGCAGTCACCTCAACCCCATCAGTACGCTTTTTGATTGAACCACAGAGCATTTTTACAGGGAAGAACAGCAGAACAAGGGCAATACCTACAGAACTAAGTTTCAGAAGTCTTCCTGAGATAGTATGTGAAACATATGTAATTCTTTTTCATAAAATAACTGATATCAGCAAATAACGTGGAGCAAACTTCGTCTATTTATTTGCATGCAAATTTAAGGTCACTCTTGCTGTTATTTAAGCATCTATAGCTACAAGGCATTTCTGCTTATACATATAAAATGTTGTGCACGAGTGACGTCAGAAGACAGTTCTTGTAAAGAAGAGGTGAATTAATATTGCTGCTGGATGTTTCCAGAGTTTCTATACTCCGATTTTTCTATTTAACTGCGGCAGTGTCTTTCCCTGCTGAAATTGCAAGGTCCTGGTGCTCTCAGTGTGCCAGGCAGCTCTGCAGCAGGGGTATCTCACCGATGAACTTAATCAGGGCCGTGGCTTTTCCTTCCTTCTGTGATCATATCAGGTGGGCTAGCCGTATTTTGAATTTGGTTGAGATGTTAAAGTGCTGTTATTTTTAAAAGAATATTCAATCTTTGGGGGTGAGGTTGTTTTTTTCTGTTATGCAACCTGAAACATGGCATCTTCTCAGTGGGAGTGGTATAATCAGCCCTTGATAACAGCAGCATTGTGCTGGGTTACAGCTTGTCAATAGAGAGCTTAAACTTTTCATCAGGCCACGCTGGCTCACGCGCGTGGGAGCAAGGAAGTGGCCTCCTCACCTCATCTCATTTCAAGACGGTTTGGGCTCAGGAATGCTTCCACCTGCATTTACAGAGTGGTGTTTTGCTGTTAGTATCATCTTTCATGTCTGCAAGGGTGTTTTGCTTTCTCTTGAGTTTTGGTCATCTTGCTGAGCTTTCTGGTGCCTTCTAAATTCTTCACAAAACTCAGTTTCCTGTTGGCCTAAGATGACTTAGAGGTAGCACTCCGTTTGTCCAGTGAGATGGGACCTTTGTTAAGTTTCATACGTCCTGAGCTTATGCATGAAAAAACGTGTCATTAACGATGCTCGTTTGTCTCCACACCTTAGGTTTCGGGATGACCACGCCAGCAACTGTGGCTGGGAAAGTATTCCTCATCATTTATGGCCTTTTTGGGTGTGCTGGGACTATTCTTTTCTTCAACCTCTTCTTGGAGCGCATTATCTCTCTCCTGGCATTTATCATGAAGGCGTGCCATGAGAGACAGCTGCGAAGAAGCGGTCTCCTACCTCCCAACTTCCGAAGGGGGCCAGCTATGTCAGGGGTGGGCAGCCTTGTGGGGTGGAAGCCATCCGTTTACCACGTGATGCTGATTCTGGGAATTTTTGCTATTACCCTTTCCTGCTGCGCCTCTGCAATGTACACAGCGGTGGAAGGATGGAACTACGTTGACTCCTTGTACTATTGCTTTGTCACCTTCAGCACCATCGGCTTTGGAGATTTGGTAAGCAGCCAAAATGCTGCGTACCAAAATCAGGGATTATACAGATTCGGAAACTTCATATTTATATTAATGGGGGTATGTTGCATATACTCTCTTTTTAATGTCATCTCAATTGTAATCAAGCAAGTTTTGAACTGGGTGTTGAAAAAATTTGAATGCAGATGTTGCCCAAAGTGCCATAAATCAAGTGCCCGCCTTGGACGTCGCAACGCCATCACCCCAGGAGCCCGCCTACGTCGACACAACATCTCAGTGGACGCTGATGGACAGTATGACAGTGACACCGAGGGGAGGAGGCTCTCTGGAGAGATGATCTCCATGAGGGAGCTCACGGCATCGAATAAAGTCTCCCTGGCCATTTTGCAAAAGCAGTTGTCTGAGACAGCCAATGGCTACCCGAGGAACGTTTGTATCAATACGAGACAAAACGGTTTCTCCGCAGGGGTGGGTGCTCTAGCCATCATGAACAACCGCTTGGCAGAAACCAGTGATTCTAGGTAGAGTTTTTGAAATTCCTTTTGTTTCTTTAATAAAAATAAATTGGTAATTAGGGTGGAATTATCACTGTAAACTACTGGAAAGTTTTAAATTCAGAGTCATCCTTGGTATTCTTTGAGCGTTCAGCATTTTAGTTTCTGAGGGTTTTATAAGTCTTCTCTAATATGCAGCAACATCTTTACTGTAATGTTATAATTTTCCCCAAAGGGTTTTTTTGGAAAAGACTTGGATGTCTTTGGTGCAGAATCTGATGCAATTATAGAAGAATGGTGTGACATGGTTATGATGGTGTCAAAACCAGCAGGTTCTTCTTCAGAACATAGCCTGAGCCCAAACTTTGGGTTAAAAATGCGTAAAATGGGCAAGTTCAGCTCCAGATTCAAACTTGAGGTTGATAAGGTTTGGCTAAACCAGTACCTCACCATTTGTTGGTCTGGATCTGGCCCTGAACTTTGTACTCAGTGCTCTGCAGCAGTTCCTCATAGCAGGCCTGTGTATAACATAGACGTAGGTGACTGCAGTTACACCAGATTTAGGGTGACTGTGTTTCACTTGTGTAATCCTGCTGACTTCAGTGATAGAGGATCAAATGGGCTGAATTCCCCTGACTATCAATGTTTTTTAGCCAGTCTTGTCTGAAATACTACCTGCTACCTAACTCTTAAAAGTCAGGGGATTATCGAGAACTGTGTTAAAATGTGGAACACTCTTCCTACCTGCTGAAATACTGAAAACAGGCAGTTGTCAGCTTTGGTACTGACTTCATTTAATACAAGAGAAACCGGTATGCACCTCTGGTGTCAATGTTTGCGTCACCGCTGAAATGCCTATTTCATTACTTTTACATGAAAATAAGTAGCAAAAATGAATGTAGGCTCTCTGTTGTCCTAAATTTGCATCTTTTACTTCTGCCAGATTGTTGCAGAGATTCATGCAAATGATTTCTTTTCAGCTCTTTGGGGACCCCAATCCTCTATTTTTTCCCCCACAAATCTGGTTGTGAAGGTTATATGGAAGAACATTGTGTTGGAGCTCCCCCAGAAGCTGGTTTCCCCCCAGAAAATTGGTACTAAATCATAAATTGGCCTAAGGCTGTTGCTACTGTCTTAAGTCATGTTTAACCTGTGCTAGCCCGAACTGCTGTAGAACCAGAAGCATCTTCAAGCAAACCTGGTCTAAGTGTCTGGTTTAGCATGACAAATGGGTGCATAGGAAATACTGCAAATCTCTTTCAGAAATGTGTGCAAAGCTCTGGATCATTTCTCTGAATTCTCTATACTGTGCCACTCCTTGAATGCTGTGAAGGTAATAAAAAGGATTCTGCTGATTCCAGCAAGAAATACAACTTAAACCTGAAGTCTGAGAAGCCACAATGGTCAGCTCTTGAAAACAACTTCGGTCATTATAGGCAAGATCATGAATAGTAGGTTGATTGCTGAATAAATTGAAAAGGCTGGTGAAAACAAACTGGGAATATTAGAAATGTTTGAAAATATTTCCATGAAGCTTCATATAGATATTTTACTCCATTGTTTATTTACTTTGTTTTGCATGGGTTTGGGGCATCCATCAATTTGCTTTCCTTTAAATTTGTAGTAGTGCAAAACATTTTGGAATTTAACCTCAGAAGACGAACTTTTAATTTGAGGTTTTGCACACTTGAGTCTGCCAGCTGAAGTATGGCAGCGGTGATATCTTTTGCCTGAAGGAGAAGGAACCAGAGCAGGAGATAAACCATCACACGTGTATCTGTATCATACTATAAACATAGTCACAGGTTTTATAAAGATGTATTTGGCCAGAAACACTCAGTGGTGTTTGTGTTCTCTGTCTACCTGGTACGGACTCATACTTAAGAGTACATTGTATGGCAGAGACTGCATTCAGGAGGCATTCATCTGGCAGGAGCTTCCCTGGTGGCAGAGACACACACACACACACACACACCCCCCCTCAGGTCCATGTGTCCATGTGCCTGTCTGTCTCTGCACTCCATCTCCAATGCTACTGTGAGTGACCCTTTGAAGAAGCAGTCAGAGGTCAAAATGTTTGGTGATCCTAATTTGAAGCCCACTGAAGGATAAATGTAAGCAGGATGTGTAGGGGCAGGTCGTGGTCTGGGAAAGACTCAAAGACCAACTGCAAAGACCCAGTTCAGGAAGGCGACTTCAGAGCTGCAGGGACCATTTTTGGAAACAGTAGAGGCAGGGAACCAAAAGGATTAAAATTTGTTCTTTTCCCTCAGGATTACCCCCGGGGTAAATCTCTTAAACTATGATGATGTATGTGCTTGTTTATTAAGAGCGTGTATGGGGTGCTGCTCTCTTCTTGCAGCTAGACCTCTCTTAGCGTTGTATCTTGGTACATTTGCCATCATGGGGACTATTACTCATTAGAATGGACCCCGCTGTGTGAAGTGCTGTGTAAATCGAAGCAGTCGGGCTCTATCCCAAAGGTCGTAAGAGGTTGAGTAGATAGGATCCCAAGCCACAGCAGAATTACTTAGGTTTATCATTTTACTCATAAAAAAAAAGTTCAAGTGCATTAACATTCTGTGAGCTCAAGAACTATATTTTTATGGTAACAAATTTGCAAATTAAGGGGTTTTATTTTTTTTTCAGTTAAGTTGTTTTCAAAGGATAAGTATTGTAACTGTGATTAGGGAGCTATTTAAGTGCTTGTAAATTGTTTTCAAACTACCTATTCCTGCCTGGGAAATACAGTGAAGTAATATGAAATTGTACATACCTCCTCTGCTATTTCTGTACTTTTTCTGAGTCCAGTCAAAGGCAGACACGCAGTGTGTTGTAGTATGATTTAAACGTTTCTGAGTCTTTTTGGTACTTTTGGTCACAGCGATGCCATTGCAGGACCCTTTGCAGTTCCTGTTGATTTCAGGGGGAACTGGATTGGCTTCCAGAGCTGGGTTCCCCAAGGGATCTGACCATCTGATTGCTGCTCTATGCACTTAGGTCTAATGTTTCTTTACTCGCAAGATCTTTGATAAACTCTGTTCTGCTTCTGCTTAGCCTCAGAGGCATATAAAGTGCATGCCCAGTTTTCTACCAGTGCCCCTGTTTCTTGCAGCGCACATATCCCCAGAAGCTGACACAACTCAACCCCAGCTCATATCTAAGCCCCGTAAAAATCCCCAACCCCATCTGGCTCAGCAAGGCCAATTTATAAGAGGGTTCAGAGCACAATTACTGAACTGGGTCTCCCAAAGAGTGGCCTTACAGTTCTGTCATACTCAGTAGCCAAAGTATTTTTCAAGGACTCATGAGAACTCCAAATCTCCAAATCTCTACTATTCTGCCTGCTAGCACTACCTGGGCACCCATCGCCCATGTGCATGAGTATATGAGCCAGGAGGACGTAAGAGATTTGAGATCAGTCTTTCCTAGTCCTTCCTGCTCTTTCTTTAGCTTTTTTTATGACAACTTCTCTTCAAACTTGGCAGACTTGGGCTCTTAACTCCTCTTTGTTGTGCGTGGTCCAGCTGACGATTCCCCAGGGCAGCCTGCTTCTTTTGTGAATTAAACCCGAAACATGAACCAGTTGCAACAAGTGCAATTCCTCCTGGTATTTCATTTCTACAGACAAAGCAAATGCCTGCAATACGCATGCACAGGCTGAAGCACAAGAAATCAGAAAGAAATTGAAGGAACGGTGGGACAGTGAAAGCACACGACACTAGATTGTACTTTCTTTTCAGGGAACTTGGGAGTTGTGTTACATTCTTGAAATTATTTTTTTTCCAGGGTTGATTTTTGGACAGCAATTTACTTAGGATTTAAAAGTTCATCTTCCCTGCTACAACCCCCTCTGCACCACCCTGTAGAACAGCGGCGGTGACTCCCAGCGGGCCCAGACCCAGCCATCCCAGCTGCCCACTGAGCAGCTGTACAAGCAGCACAGGCGGGAGCTCAGACCACATGTCCCAGGTTGGTCTTTTGCTGTCTGAGCCTGGGATTCTCTGTGAACAGTCGCTAGTGAGACCAAGGATTGCACAGGCGTGAGCTGCTCAGACCTCCAGCACGAAGGGAGGAGATACCGTGTTCACCTGGCCTCCGTGCTAATGCCTTGCAGATGAGAAGTAAAGTTTAAGTAAAAATTAATAAGGGACAATGACCAATTCAAGCGATGTCTTCTCTTTCCCCTGGAGCTCAGGGCAGAACAGTTAGAAGGAACAGTTTCTTGTGAAACCAGTAATGTTTGACAAGTCACGACATTTACTTCTTAGGGTTTGTCTTTCCTCTGTGTCTCAGACAAAGTTTGGAGTCACACTGAGATGTCATCTGATTCTCATTGATTTCTTCCCATCGGCAAACACACTTCTCATTTTGTGCAAAAAATTCGGATCGCCGCTTATTTCCTTGCAATGCAAAGGCTGTGCTTCAGAGGGCATAACTGTTCAGAGAAGTAATTTCATTTGCCTCAGTCACAGATGGAAGTTTCTGAAGGACAAGGCCGTAGTTTGCCGGTCTCCCTGCAGAAGAAGCATTGCACAGGTAACTGCGGTTACTGCCAGCGACATGTGCAAAGGTACTTTAGGCAGTGGTTGGGGCTTTGCAGCAGTAGGCACAACTAAAAATGGAAAGAAGGTCTGTTATAAAGGATATTTGTGCCTCTTTGACATGTACTTGCTATTTGATAGCCCAGTTGCCAGCTCTAATTGCAGCAAAAATACCCAGTGGAAGACAAGAATGGTGTAAGAGTCACGTTAAAGCCCTTGATGATCACCCCACGCCATGCTTGGGTTACCCAGAGATGCACCGCGATGCTGCCTGTCAGTGTAGCACTGGTGTCCCAGCATGGCTTCAGCTGTGGCCCTTGATTTCTTCTCCTCCCCAGCTTTCTCTGGGTGAAAATGTGGGTATACTCTGACCATTTATCTGCATTTCGGTCATGTCTTGACTTGCTGCTGAAGGGAGGACTTGAGCAGCAGTGGAGGCCATATAGCCAGGCATGTGGGCTCGGTAGAAACCTGATTGCCTGTGTGG